ACCCTAAACCCTAAACCCTAAACCCGACCACCCTCAAGCTCGGCCCGCCGAAGCCCCTGGAAGGCGGCGCGCACCGGCGGTCGCTCCGTCGGATGCCTATGCAGGGGAGTTGTGAGGTTCCTGCTGGTGACTTTGAACCCCAAGCCCTAAGCCCTAAGCCCTAAGCCCTAAACCCTAAACCCTAAACCCTAAGCCCTAAGCCCTAAACCCTTTAAAGAAGTACTGGCCCCAAACATCGGATTCCACAGTCTTAAGCCCTAACCCCTAAACCCTCCGGCCGAAGCCCTCAACTCTAAACTGAGAAGGTCCGCTGAGGGCTGGTCCGGTGGTCAGAGGAAAGGAAACACCCAGAACAACACGCACCTACTTCTGAGGGCGGCGCCAGCTGCGGAAAATCCGGTCTGGAGCTATTGGGTTTAGGGTTTAGGACTTAGGGTGTAGGTTACATGCAGAACTTCTACTGGACCATTAAACCACCCAAAAGCTCCGATCAGGGTCCAACAGTCGCCCGTTTCTTGCCGATTTCAAAGAAAGCACCCTAAGCCCTACCCTGAGAAACGTCAACCACGAACCCCCCAAAACCTCAAACACCAAAACCCTAAACCCCAAACCCTAAAACCCAAACCCCAAACCCTAAACCCTAAAACCCAAACCCCAAACCCTAAGCCCCAAACCCCTAAACCCCTAAACCCTAAACCCTAAACCCCTAAACCCCAAACCCCTAAACCCCTAAACCCTAAACCCCTAAACCCTAAACCCCTGTAGCGCCCAGATGCGCAATGGTCTGCACAGTGGAGGGCGGCGGCAGTGGTGGCTCCGTCGGCACGAGCTGCAGCGTGGGGTGAAATAGGGTGCTCGGGTTTAGGGTTTAGGGTTTAGGGTTTGGGGTTTAGGGTTTGGGGTTTGGGGTTTGGGGTTTAGGGTTTGGGGTTTGGGGTTTAGGGTCCCCAAGCCTACGGCCGAGAGGGGTACCGGGTGAGGTTTAGAGCTTACAGCAGGGTGATGATCACTGGAGTCAAGGACAGCAGCTGCTTGAGGTAAGTGGAACGTGTGGCAAGGTTCGAAGCTTTTGCTCAGATTCCTAGAACTGCAGACCTGCTGAAGGGCCAACATTAAGAGCCATCTCCTTCTTGGGATGTCTCCCCGTATGGTAGCAGTCTTTAGAGATAAGAAATCACCACAACACTTAATGCTTACTTAATGCTTGGAGGTTTATGGGTAGTTGCAAGCAGGGTTATAAGTAGGACTTCTTGCAGCTAGTTGTATCCTTATCCGGGGTACTTACAGCCCTACCTCTATCTTGCACTATAGACTTCAAGCTAGCTAAAAACTGGTGCTATCGGTAGGATCTTCAACACCCCTAAACCGTAAACCCGAAACCAAATATGTTAGAAAGCCTTACACTCCCAATCGCGCACACGAGAATGCAGAGGGGCAAGGGGGGAGTTGTAGGGCAGCCCCGACAGAAGCATCGCTAAGCCCAAAGGCTTCCCCGATGGCCTCTTTGTGGTCTATCTAGGCCCATTGTTCCAACCCTAAATGCCGGACCCTGAACCCGAAACAGAAAACCCTTAAACCCCAAAAGGCCCTGTAACCCCAAACTCTAGACCCTCAGGCCCCTAAACCCCAAGCCCCTAAACATTAAATCCTAATCCCTAAACCCTAAACCTTAGCCCCCAAACCCTACAACCCTAAACCCTACAACCCTACAACCCTGAACCCTAAACCCTAAACCCTAAACCATGAGCAACAAAAAAAACTCCCTCCGCCCCCCTCTCGCCGGCAGCGGCAGCGCCACGCGCGCGGGCTCCGCGTAGGGCTCGAAAGGAGGCTGCGCCAACTCGAAGGCCTTGGCACCACAGGGCTTAGGGTTTAGGGTTTAGGGTTTAGGGTTTAGGGTTTAGGGTTTAGGGTTTAGGGTTTAGGGTTTAGGGTTTAGGGTTTAGGGTTTAGGGTTTAGGGTTTAGGGTTTAGGGTTTAGGGTTTGGGCATGTTTGGGGTCCAGCGCTTTCTCGGGTTTGGGGATTGAGGGTTTTAGAGTTTTAGGGTGGACGGTTTTGGGTTTCAGGTTTTCAGGGTTTTGGGTTTGAGACTTGGGGTTTCAGCGCTTCGGGTTTCGGGGCAATATAGGGCCTTGGGGGTTGGAGCTATACTATAATACTTAAGCCCAAACAACTGCCAAATCCCAAGAAAGCCCCTGAAGCCCGAAACACGTTCAGGGCTACAGAACTCCCTCACCCTAAGCCCTAAACCCGAAACCCTAAACCCTAAACCAGCCCCAGTCCTTACGAAACCTGGATCGCCCACCTCGGGCTTCAAAATTCAGAAGCTGCTTAGGGTTTGGGTTCAGGGTTTAGGGTTTAGGTGTAGGGTTTTCCGGATGCCTAGGGTTCAGAATGCCTAGGGTTCAGCGATTTTAGGGTTGAAGGGTGTAGAAGGGCTCAGGAATGTGTAGGGTCTACGGTTCGGGGATTCCGAGTTCAGACAGGCTCTTGCTGTTTTATTTCAGGAGTGCCGGAGGCTTGCGGGGGGGGCGCCCGAGAGAAGCCGATCCGCGCCACCTGTACACTGTACAGAGGTCGGCGTGCCGCCATAGAAGCGGTGTCGGCACAAGGCTCCCCGGGATGGGTTGCCCCACAAAGGGCCCCAATCATCCCTCCCCAAAAAGACTAGAACCCCAAACCCTAGATACTAAACCCGAAAACCCCAACACCCTACATGCCCTAAGCCTAGACTCTAGACCTTATACCCCTAACCCCCAAACTATCCCAAGCCCTACACCGTTCCTAAGCCTCCGACTAAGACCCAGCACTTGGAGGTTTAGGGCTTGTAGGGCTAGGGCTCAGGGTTCAGGGTTTGTTTGGGGTCCATGGGTCGTTGCAAGGCAGCGTTGAGGGGTCACCCCCTCTGTGTGATTGCAACGGTTTAGGGTTGACAGGGCTCCAGGGCTTAGATAGTGAGTTCTCTAAATTGTATTCCGGCCACTCCGACCCTAAACCCTAACCCTAAACCCTAAACCCCAAACCACGAACCCCGAGCCCACTCAAGCGACTGTCATGGCTCCCTTGTGCGCCGGAGCATCGACAGCCAGGCCAATCATGGAGCCCTTGGCAGCTCGAATGGACGCGAGCTGCACTGCCACGGGTCCTGGCTTCTTTGGGTTTAGGGTTTAGGGTTTGGGGTTTGGGGTTTGGGGTTTGGGGATTGGGGTTTGGGGATTGGGGTTTGGGGTTTGGGGTTTCGGTTTGGGGTTCGGGGAATTCATTCTTCTGCGGGCAGTTACAAAGGCCCTCAGTATTGGTCGGATTCCCTCGCCTACCCTCTGCAACCCGAGGGCCCGTACTTCAGAACCTTCTATGCAAGGTAGGGGACCACATTGAACCCTAAACCCTAAACCCTAAACCCAAAACCCTAAACCCTAAACCCTAAGGATTGAAGTCTTCTGGGCGTCCGTTCAGGAGCCAGTTGGCCGCGTCCACGGCCGACACTTCCGGTAGGGCGGCCGGGATGGATTGAGGGCAGACCTGGGTGCAGGGTTTAGGATTTAGGGTTTAGGGTTTGGGGTTTAGGCCTGAGTGTTTAGGGTTTAATGCTTAATTTAGAGGTTGGGGTTCAGGGTTGAGGGTTTGGGGGCTTAGGCTTAGGGTTTGGGGTTTAGGGCCCTAATGGTTCATGCACCCGCCTGACGACCAAGGGCAAAGAACTGGCCGTCGGTGGACTGAACGCAGCGGGCTGCGTAGAAGACAGCGTTGTCCGGGGGCGCCTGAACTCTGAACCCTGCAGCTTTAAGCTGTGAACCCTAGACTCACACCCTAAACCTTACACCCTAAACCCTAATTAAACCTTAAACCCTAAACTTGAAACCCAAAACCCCAAACCTGACACCCTAACCCCTAAACCCTTAAACCCTCAGCCCTAACCCCAACCCTTAGCCCTAAACCTTAAACCTAAACCCTAAACCTCTAAATTCGGCGTCCCTGGAAGGCTCGCAGCGGGCACCTGTGGGGCAGGCACATGCTGAGCCAGCGCACCCAGCAAGACGTCGGCCAGGGGCATCCATGCTTCCTTTCCCATTTTGGAGTTCGGGGTTTTGGGGTTTAGGGCTGTTTAGGGTTGCTTGGGGTTTAGGAGGGTTTAGGGTTTAGGGCTTAGGAAGGTTTTGGGTTTAGGAGGGTTTTCGGTTTAGGGCTGTTTAGGGTTTGGGCTTACTGTCAGGGGGTTTAGGGCTCGGGGTGTAGGAGCTTTGTAGAGACGCGCACCGAAACCCTCAACTTTGGACCCCCACCCCCCACACACAAAAAAAGGGCCGAAAAGGCAACCATAGCACCGACCCTAAACCCTAAACCCTAAAACCCTAAAACCTAACCCTAAACCCTAAACGGCCCTAAACCCCCCAAACCCCAAACCCTAAACCCCAAACCCCGAGCCCCAAGATTCCTACTGGGCCAAGCCGCCATGGCGCTTTGCTTCCACGCGTTGCCCGTGAGGCCATCTCTGGGCTCGATGCCCAGCTCCTTTAGGGTTTAGGGCTGTTGAGGGGGTTTAAGAGTTTTGGGCTTAGGGTCTACAGGTTAGGGGTTAAGGGTTTGGGGTCTAAGGGGTTAAGAGTTTAGGGGTTTTGGGGTTTGGGGGGTTCGGGGGGTTCGGGGTTTGGGGGTTTAGGGGTTCAAGTGCTCACGGATTTAGACCCTCGCACTTGCCCGGTCTCCTTATATGCTCTCTAAACTATGGTGGTTCCTGTTGGGGTCCTTGCTAGAAGCCCAAAACCCTAAAACTTTTGTATTCAGGGCACCAACATGGACAATAGCATGGAGAACTGCACAATATAGCAGCTGGCGGGTTTGGGTGGACGTAGACTATTGTCGATTCGAGGTTTGTGGGGCTAAGGGCTTGGATGTACTTACCCTAAACCTCAAACCCGAAACCTGCCTAACCCTAAGCCCCAAACCCGAAACCTGCCTAACCCTAAACCCTAAACCCCAAACCCCAAACCCCAAACCCTAAACCCCTAACCCTAAACCCCAAACCCTAAAACCCTGAATAAGCCTGAGCCCCGATGAAGGCAGGGCCTTCAGGCGCGCCATGGGCTCCGCCTGGGGGTTTTCCAGGGTGGCAAAGATGCCGCGAACCGGCTCTAGCACCTCCGGGAGGCATTGCAGGAGTTTAGGGTTTAGGGTTTAGGGTTTAGGGTTTAGGGTTTAGGGTTTAGGGTTTAGGGTTTCGGGTTTAGGGCCAAACCCGAAACCCGAAACCCTAAACCCTAATTACTAAACCCTAAACCCTAAACCCTAAACCCTAAACCCTAAACCCTAGACCCTAAACCGAAGACAAGGGTTTGGGCGTTCAGGGGCGTTTGCAGGCTTGGGGTTCTTGCGCGGTCTTGGATCGAACTCCTCGTAGTTAGTCCTAGGAGGCACCAGCTTGCAGGCCCCGCGCTCGCCGTCCGCGCCCCAGCGGCCGTTGTAGAAGTGATCGCCCCACAAGCGTGGCCGGAGCTTCTCTACCTGCTCTTGGGTCCACGCCTTTCGTCTGGCCGTTGCCATGAGGAACTGATCCAAAGTGAAGCCCCAACCACCCACAGACTCTGCAACACTCAGTGAGCCTCTTCCAAACACGATGCTGCCATCGTCCACCGCCAGGGGCCTGACGGATGGCAAACCCTCAATCATGCTGTTCAACCGGTCCACGATACGCCATAGCCGCTGATAGCACAGCTCGTTGTCGGTTTCCAGTGAGAGGAGCTTGTCAAGCTTGTTCCTGCGCTAACCTATGACCTATGAATAGTAAAAAGTATTCTTGCTTAACGGACACAACTTAATGAAACCCAACTCACAAAACAAAGCAACAAGGTACCATGGGGAAACCAAGGTTCAGAAAGAGGACGGGCTGCAAGCCACGCGCCACTGCGGCCCCAAACACCTGGCAAAACGGCTCCGTGAGGCCTTCGGCGCAGTCCACCACCGCCAGGAAGCCATCCACAAGAGGAAAGCAGTCTGTGATCTGCTGGGTATCCGCAAAGTGTGGGGCCACGAGCTGCATCAGGCAAGGCATGTCGTCATGCTGATATCCTGGGAATTCCCTTAAATACCCCCTTTCAAAACATTCCTGAAAAGGATCCTCTTAAACCCAATAAGAGAAAATACAAAATGTCCAAAGGGCCTACCGGGCCTACCGAGTATCGAAGAGGCAGGGAGATCCAGTGGCTCTGGTGCCGCTCCGTGGTGCTCGGCCGAAGCTTCTTGGAGGACGAGGCCTTGCCTGGCCACGTCCGATGCTTCGATAAGTAGCCGAGCAGGCTGTCCTGCCTGGGCTTCTGTTGGTTCAGGAGCATCAACTAAGTTGCCATAACAAGGATTCAGACAAAATCCTGTAACCCACATAATTCCGGCATCTTGGCTTTGTGTTCTTAGTGGAACTCCTCATGAAGGACAAGTGCTTTCACCACAGCCCAGCTGCCCATGGTCCGTCGGCGCCATGACCAAGACGTGTCGCATGCGCCCACGATGCTCCAGCGCGGGTCGGAGGTTCCAAAGCAAATCTTCTGGCTTTCCCGCCTTCGGCGTGTATCTGGCAATACCTTGGGATGTTCCATCCCCCCAATACTGAAGCCCTGAATGGGGATTAGAGTACACCCCCATATAATCCCTATGAAGGACTGATAGTAGAAGGGGGAACATCCCAAGCAATACCGCTAATACTCACTTTAAGACCCTTGATAGCCAGCATTTTCAACAGACTTTGGGTGCATAATTAATGAGCAGGAAACAAAACGTAAGTCCTAAGAGGACCATAGCTGCTATGTCGCGACGTCGCACAGAACTGCCTCTGTGGCACAGAGATGAGCTTTGTCTCCAGCATCTCAGCCCACACGGCCTTCAAAGGCGAGAAGCAGGTGTCGTCAAAGACGACCCAAGCACCCGACCTTGCCACAGACTTGGCGTTCCGCAGATCTGCGCGGGCTGCCGCAGGATCGTGGTCACCGTCAATATGCACCAGATCAGCTCCTTGGGCTCGGGTTTGCTGGACCCTCAATTTGTTAAAGCCAGATAGATCTACAGAAGAGCAGCCTAGAAGCCCGCAGAGAACAGAAGCTGCACTGTTGGGTATGTTAGTCCCGTGCTCCCGTTTCTGCATGTAAAAGCCGAAATTCACTGAGCTGCAACCCCCTGCAACCCCCAACGCCTAAGAAGGGTCCAAGAAATTGAGATCCGGATTCTAACAGTTTAGGTCTACTCCCGTGTGACCTGGGCCCTTTAGAAAAGGAGCCAAGGCTCTCTCCTCGTTGTCCGCCGCCCATTTCGGCAGTGTTTGCTGCGACTTGCCGGGCACCTGAGGTAAGCGACTTGAGCCGCCAGGGAGTCGGGGGGGAATGGGTGTTTGGTAGATTCGATGCCTGAGGTCTGAGACGCTAAGCCCTAAATAATTATATAGACTTAAACTCTGTAACCCTAAACCCTACTCCCTAAACGTAAAGTCTGTAGCCCTGAAGCCTGAACCCGAAACTTACCTGAATCCTGAACCTGAACCCTGAACCCTTTAGATCCCCCCCCCAAAATGAAAAGATATTCCTCCTTATGAGGGCAATATAGGGATTATTACTGTGTGGGGGGGTTCTTAAGCTAAGACTAGTCATCTTTTACTTTTGGGGGGGTTCCCCTAAACCCTAAACCCCAAACCCCAAACCCCAAACCCTAAACCCTAAACCCTAAACCCTAAACCCGGGGGTTCTTCAGCAAATAGTAGTCATCTTCCATGCGCGGGCGCGAGCCGGAGACGCCCGGGGAAGGCGGCGGCCAGGACATCGAAGCAGGGCTTCGTGTAGGCGTGCTCACACCTTGTGGGTTTAGGGTTTAGGGTTTAGGGTTTAGGGTTTAGGGTTTAGGGTTTAGGGTTTAGGGTTTAGGGTTTAGGCTGATATTCTGCGGTCTCCGCCCTTTTTTGGGTCCGCCTTTTAAAGGTAACCTCAGAAGGGGCCCTAATTTACAGAGAAGTGACCACTTTTTAGGGTTTAGGGTTTAGGGCCCCTCCCAAATGACGCCTCATGCGATCCAGTGAACACAAGCACCCGAGAGCAAGCTACAAACCGGATCCAGGTAGAGCCGTTCGTCAACCCAAGGCATACACACGAAAAGACCTCTCAACTCAAAACCTCTGAGTCTGAACTCAAAACCAAAGGCTGAAAAGGCCCAAAACCACGCCCGGGCCATCCTAGGAGAATTTGCAGCCCAAAACCACATCAGCTACAATCATGGGAGGGGAGGAGGGGGAACCTAATTCACGGGCCCTTTTCGGTGCTTGCATTCATATAAAAACCAAACACCCTCTGCGCCGCCCCAAACACCCTAAACACAAACAAACACCCCGAAACACCCCAAAACAACCCCCCAAAAAGACTCCTAAACCCTAAGCCCCTAACACCCCCCCCCCCCCCCCACCCCTCCCCCCCTGCAAATGCCAGCCAGGCGCAGGTCGAAGGCAACGACCTTCAACTTGGGATGTGCCGAGAGCCTCGACTCCACTTCACTTGGGGAGGCTGTGGGGAATGGGAGCGCTGGCTCGGTAAAGCGGCTTAGGGTGTTGGGGGTGGGGTTTAGGGTTTCGGGTTTCGGGTTTCGGGTTTAGGGTTTAGGGTTTAGGGTTTTGGGAGTAGGGTTTTGGGAGTGGGGTTTCGGGTTTAGGGTTGTTGGAAGTCTTGGATAGGCTTTTATGTGAAAGACACAAGTTGATTCGGCGTTAGGTTGTTGCAGACAAACGTATGCCTGAAGAGCTTCCAGAGGGCAAGAGGAGGCTAGAGTGGCCCGCATTGAAGCCGATCTCCACGGCGACGCTGTCCTCACCCCAAAGCCGTAGAAGCCCTAAACCCGAAACCTCGAGGTTAATGGGTAGGTCTAGGCAGGGTTACAGTTCAAGCCAACAAAGTTGGAAACCCAATGGCCTCAATCCTAGAGTAAAGTTTTGGGAATCCCAGCACTATTTATCCTTAAATAGGTTTCCAACTTTTTGGGGCTTCTGTAAAAGTATGGTAGCCATAGCTAGAACATCGCCAGGTATAGGGTGCACACCACTTTACTACTAACTATCCATGAAGCTGCAAGTACACCTTTACCCCCGTCCTCCAGCGGCAGCGAGGCCGCCAAACTCCACAGGTTGCGCTGCTTCGGGAGGTTCTTGGGATTCGGCTGGAGGCTGTGGTGCATATAGAGGATACTGCCTTCACCCGCCTCCCCCCCCCCCCGCCAGCATCAGCTTGGAGGGGGGCTATTCTATAGGGGTTTAGGGCTCAGGGTCCCTGGAAAAAGACCGCTGAATCCTACGAAAGGAGTGGCTCAGTCTGAGTTTGTCTGTTTTCGGGCTGCATGTCCCAAATCCGTAAACCCTAAACCCTAAACCCTAAACTCGTGGCGCTGTTCCTTCCATGGGTTCACCAGACTCGCAGACCACTGCATTCAGCGCTGCCAAGTGGGCGCTTACGGCCTTCAAGGGCAGATGGAAATTTAGGTTTCAGGGTTTCAGGGCTTGGTTTCGGTTTTGGGGTTTAGGGTTTCGGGCTTGGATTTTGTTTAGTTCCCTAAGCCTTAAAACCTCAACATTGAACACCAAGTTGAATTCGTATTTGGGCCGAACGTTGCGAGTTCAGGGGTCTTAGAGGCATTAGGGTTGCTTTTAGGCTTTTGGGCTCTTAAGGGGTTCGAGGGGCTTGAGGCCCTAAACCCTCAACCCTCAACCCTCAACCCTAAACCCTAAACCCTGAACCCCCAAGGGGGAGCCAGCGCCTCGAATGATGTCGAGAACTCCTCCTCGCTGATGGTTGCCATGGCCGGGGGCGAGCAGACGGCTTTGGGGACTTGCTTAGGGTTTAGGGTTTGGGGTTTAGGGTTTTGGGTTTGGATTTAGGGTTTAGGTTTTAGGGGAATTTGGGGATTAGGACCTTAGAGCTTCGGAGTTTTTAGGGTTTAGGAATATAGGAACTCGCCGTGGGCTGCTCACATTCGCTTGTAGAGGTGGACCGTGCCTGTACTGTTGACAGCAAGGGCGCAGTTGGTTTGGGGTTTAGGGATTAGGGTTGAAGGGTTTAGGGTTTAGGGTTTAGGGCTTAGGGTTTAGGGTTTAGGGTTTAGGGCTTAGGGTTTAGGGGTTATAGCTATACTACATACATTTTCGGCCGTCCTGTTAGCGCAGGCTGCACAGTTTCCTGCTAAGGCCCTGAGGAAGTGGCCCCTAGCCTCTTCCTCTCCACTAGCACGTGAAAGTTTGAAAGGCGAGACCCTATAACCCTAGACCCCTATAAACCCTCAACCCTAAACCTAAAAAAACCTAAACCCTATAAACCCTAAAACCCTGGAAACCCTAAACTTTAGGCCCTAAACCCTGAAACCCAAAATCCTAAAACCCTAAACTTAAAACCTAAACCCAGTCACACTTTCCATTCCAAACCCCTCCCAAGCCCTGAAGCCTCGCCATTGCGAAGCCCGACACGGGGTCTTGAAGTTTCACCCTTCAGGAGGACGCAACAGGGATTTAGGTTTAGGGTTCACAGGGTTCACAAAGTTCACACAGGTCATAGGGTTCATAGGGTTTATAGCGTGCATAGGGTTTATAAGGCTTATAGGATTGATGGGGTTAATAAGGTTTATAGGGCTCAGGGTTGAAGACAATGTGGATGAACATGTGAATCCGAGGACACGGCGTGTGCCTCCGTAGGCGGCACGTAGTCCTGCCGCGGAGCCCTACACCCTAAACCCTAAACCATAAACCCTAAACCCTAAACCCTAACCCTAAACCCTAAACCCTAACCCCCCAGAGCCCTGCTGCGGTTGATGCTCTTTAGCCTCTCTTTTCCCTGGCCTAGGGCTGACACACGCGCGCTTGGGAATGCCCATGGAGCTGCTTCTTTAGAAGGTATAAAACTGAAGGCTCAGGTCGTGTCGATTTCTCCCCCCAGCCCCAACCCCACTATTCTTCCCAACCTCACGCTGATAGACCCACGGGTTTAGGGTTTAGGCTTTAGGGTTTAGGGGCAAATAGGGGCCTGAAGAATTAGCATAGGGTTTTGGGGGGGATTATAGTATAATTGCAAAGGGAGCGCGAGGACAAAACAGCACAAGGGAAGTGCAACACACACACACACACACAGATATGCTCATTGGGACCGTAAGGAAATATATAACTAGTAATTCTCTCGACCCCTATAGTAGAGAGTTTGGGGTGAAGGGGGCTTGGGCTACAGGCTTGAAGCTCATGGGGTCACGAAACCTCCCGAGCCCTGCCCCGTAGGGTTTAGGGTTTAGGGTTTAGGGTTTAGGGTTTACGCTCCTCCAGTACAGGAACAAAGTCTGCGGCCGTGACGTCAATGGGCTCCGCGGCGGCGGCATCTCGGAATCAAGATGGCACGTTGTAGGGTTTAGGGTTTAGGGTCTAGGGTTTAGGGTTTAGGGTTTAGGGAAAGCTGAGGGTTAGGGTACAAGGTTTAGAGCTCTAGGATGACTTGAATGAGGAGACGGGCCGGCACTAGCAACGTCCTCAACCCTGGAATGAGCCCAATCCTCAGGAAACCATGTGCCCCGGGTCTAGGGTTTAAGTTTAGGGTTTAGGGTTCAGGGTTTAGGGTTTCGGGCTACTCGTCACCCCAAGCCCTAAATCCCCAACCCATATAGAACCGGATTCGGGACCAGGTTCTTCCCTACAAAGGCGCCTGGATCCCTTGCGTTTAGGGTTTAGGGTTTAGGGTTTAGGGTTTAGGGTTTAGGGTTTAGGGTTTAGGGTTTAGGGTTTAGGGTTTGCGGTTTAGGGTCTCGGGTTTTGGGTCTTGGGGTTTTAGGGTTTGGGCATCCAAGGTACAATCTGCCGGCAGAATCATACCCTGAGCCTCCCAACGTTGATAAACCTGAACCCCTCTACGCCCACAACACTAAAGCCCTCAACCCCACCCTAAACCCTAAAGCCTAAACCCTGAGCCCCAAACATTTTGAACCCCCATGACACCTAAAACCCGCGACCCTTCACCAACTCCTAAAAATCTCCTAAACCGCAAAAAACCCTAAAGCCCCCAAAAAAACCTAAAATCCCAACCCAAAAACCCATACACCCTATCCCCCTACATCTCGAGCCGCAACACTCCTTCTACGCTCCTCGCCGCCAAGGGGCTCTTTGGGGCCAGGCGTCCCCGCTGTGCTTCCTTGGCAGCCTGCGCAGCAGCCTCGCTCTGCAAGGGCTTAAGGTTCCAGGGTTTAGGGTTTAGGGTTTCGGGTTGAGAGTAGAGGGTTTAGGGTTGAGGGTTTAGGGTAGAGTTTGGGGTCGAAGGCGTATATCTTTTAAGGCCCAGTGTCGTAGGGTTGACATACTACACGGCTGGAGGGACATGGGTCATGCCAGTCAACTTGAGGACTTTTACCGCTGCTACTTGCAACCCCGCTGGCAGGATTAGGGTGATCGTCTATGCCCAAAATATGGTACCCGAAGAACACACCCCAAAATGAAGGCTTAGAGCTTCGGGAACCCCCCCAACAGGACACCCCTACTTTCGGAGAAATCGTTCTGGAGCCTTTCACAGCTTCAGCCCCTGCCCTGAACTAACCCTCTTGCTGATTAGCTGGGCTCCTGGGAATTTGCGCGGCCTTCCGCTGGCGGCGGCGGCGTTCCAGGTCCCTCTGACGCTCCTGCAAGTTTGGGGGGGCTCCCTGCACCACTGGTGCCGACCAGAAGTCAAAAATCCTACAGCAAACCCTAAGCCACTTAATCCCGCAACCCTGAACCCCTGACTCCTACCACCTTGAACCCTAAACCCTAAACCCCTACGCCCTAAACACGAACCCGCTACACCCTAAACCCTAAATCCCAACACCCTAAACCCTAAATGCCAAAACCCTAAACCCTAAACCCTAAACCCTAAACCCTAAACCCTAAACCCTAAACCCTAAACCCTAAACCCTAAACCCTAAACCCTAAACCCTAAACCCCAAACCCCAAACCGCAAACCCCAAACCCTAAACCCTAAAGCCTAGACAAGGGAAGTTTCTTCGACCCGCTCTCCAGGCTCACCTTTATTGAGGTAGGGTTTAGGGTTTAGGGTTTAGGGTTTAGGGTTTAGGGTTTAGGGTTTAGGGTTTAGGGTTTAGGGTTGAGGGTTGAGGGTTGAGGGTTGAGGGTTGAGGGTTGAGGGTTGAGGGTTTAGGGTTGTCAGTTTTCAGGGTTTGGGGTTTAGGGCTTGGGGTTTAAGGATTAGAGGGCTTAGTTCGTACCCCCACTGTGTTGGGTTCAAGGGTGATCGGCGCATGGCCCAGCACCAACAACTAGGAACTAAGAACCAAAACTGCAGACCCAAACCCAAAAACAGAGCTACATCCACAACCCTAGCTTCTAAACCAAACTACTAAACCCTAAACCCTAAACCCTAAACCCTAAATCCTAAACCCTAAACCCTAAACCCTAAACCCTAAACCCTAAACCCTAAACCCTAAACCCTAAGCGTTGAACACTAGCTACTACTCAACCCCAAGGACACGGCGTTCAACCCCATGGGCTCCTCCTCGGCTTCGAGAGTACGTGCGTTGTGCCTGGTGGTTTCGGAAGACAGGTTTAGGGTTTAGGGTTTGGGGTTTAGGGGTAGGGTTTAGGGTTTGTTTGGGTTTGGGGTTTGGGGTTTGCAGGTTGGGTTTTGGGGTTTGGGGTTTGGGGGTTTGGGGGTTTGGGGGTTTGGGGGTTTGGGGGTTTGGGGGTTTGGGGGTTTGGGGGTTTGGGGGTTTGGGGTTTAGGGTTTGTTTGGGGTTTATAGGGTTTGGGGTTGGGGGGCATATATATATATATATAGACGCCGACTTGGAGTCAAGGCGATCCACAGAAGCGAAAAGGCTGATGTGTTAACCAGCTGGGGTTTAGGGTTTGGGGTTTAGGGCGTAGCGTTTGGGGTTAGGGTTTGGAGTTTGGAGAGTGAAGAGGGAGAGAGGGAGAGAGGGAGAGAGAGAGAGAGGGAGAGAGAGAGAGAGAGGGCAAGAGAGAGAGAGAGAGAGAGAAAGATAGAAAGAGAGAGGGAAAGACAGAGAGAGATGTGGGTTCAGGGTTAGTTTAACGTTCGGGCTTTGGGGTTTAACTTTAGGGGTTCCCCAAGGACTTGTATATTGCTTTAAGGGGGCGTCCGGGTGTTAGGGTGTCTGCGGCCTTTTACTGCTTCAGGGTACGAGAAGGTCCAAGGTTCCGAGGTTCCGAGAGAGTTTCGAGGTGTTAAGGTGTAGGGATCCTATTAATGGAGAAATCGTATCATGTTTGTGGGCAAGTACTCCTTATGTTTGGTGCTTGTTACCCACAACCTTAACCCCTGACCCCTGAAGCCTAAACCCGAGCCCTAAACCGCATACCCTAAACCCTTGGACAAAAAACTGGTACGTAGGCCTTAAACCCTGACCCTGAACCCTAAACCCGAACCCTAAACCGTATACCCTAAACCCTTGGACAAAAAACTGCTATGTAGGATATATCCAGTCGCAATTGACGTGTGCGACTCTTTGCAGGCTTGTCGCGAAGCTTTCGTTTGCGACTCCAAACCCTAAATCTTCCACCCCAAGCCCCAAATCAGGGTTTAGGTTTAGGGTTTAGGGTTTAGGGTCTAGGGTCTAGGGTCTAGGGTTTAGGGTTTTATGGTTTAGGGTTTAGGGTTTAGGGATACTGGGAGGGGGGAGGAAACCCTAAACGCTAATCTCCGCAACCCTAAAGGCAGCGACCAGCCTCTCACACGTGGAGATCGCCATGTCGCGAAGCTCCAGATAGGCCTGAGGAGTTTAGGGTTTTAAGGTTTAGGGATTTAGGGTTTGTATAGGCTTTCGGGCTTTAGTGTTCAGGGGTTGGGGTTTAGGGTTTAGGGTTTAGGGTTTAGGGTTTAGGGTCTAGGGTTTAGACTTTAGGGTACGGTTTAGGGCTTATGATTCCTAAACCCCAACCCCAAGAAAGTTCAGCGCCTCCACTGTAAGTGCATGAGCTGCAGCATAAACCCTAAACTCCCCAAGAAGGCCTCAGGCCTAAAACCCGAACCCCATAAACCCCCCAACCCTAAAGCGCCGGATGGTGAGCACCACATCTCTCTCAGCCCTCCCCCAAACTTCGCCTCTGAGCCACCGAGGACGACCCGATAGGTCCCCCGTGCCATCCCTACAGCCCCAGCTGGTTGAAGCCATGCTCCCCCTTTCCAGCACGAAACTCGGGACTCCAAAGCCTTGGTTTAGGGTTTAGGGTTTAGGGTTTAGGGTCCCTCAGCCGACCCCTACTGCAAAGAAGCCCTACGCCCTTTCGGACAGCGGGGGCCCCTGCCGTTGCCAAGGCCTCCACTGCCGGATCGTAGACGGGCTGCAGCGCAGGTTTGGTTGCTTGGAGGGTTTGGAGGGAGGCGGGTCTCGAGGGCTTAGAGGGTTGAGAGGGTTTCGAGGGCTGAGGGGCGGAAACCTCTAAACCCTAAACCGTCGCACGTGGCGACTCTCGAAGATTACTGTGCATTTTTGACAATGTGACAATGTGCAATCTGCACAACATGGCAGAATTCCTATAGGAACCACCCAACCCCCATTCTCGGAACACCTCCAATCCCCCAAATCGTGCAGGCTTCTTAAATATAACCCTACTTTTTTTGCAGGGTTCCTTTAAGCCCCGAGCCCCAAGCCCTAAACCCTGAACCCAAAAACCTGAACCCTAAACCCTAAACCATAAACCCTAAAACCCTAAAACCTAAACCCCAACCGTTGCAAGCTTTTCAGCCCCTGCTTCCAAACCCTAAACCCTAAACCCTAAACCCTAAACCCTAAACCCTAAACCCTAAACCCTAAACCCTAAACCCTAAACACAGCCAGGAGCCGCCTCCGCCGGAGGTGGGGGCTCCTCCACTTCGGCGTTCGGCTTGGCCTTGGACTTGGCCTGGCAAGTTCTGAAGTTTCATCCTCAGGGTGTAGGGTTTAGGGTTTAGGGTTTAGGGTTTAGGGTTTAGGGTGTGGGGTTTAAGGTTTAGGGTTTAGGGTGATTTAAGACTCAGGATTTAGGGGGTTGAGGTTCCGGTGATAAGGCTACTATTTTCAATTTCGCATGCCAGCTTTCGGGCATTGGGGCTTCGGATTCTACAGAGTCCCCGAGATTGCTTGGGTTCAGTATTTGCTTAGGAGAGGTTAGGGCTCAAGGCCTCAGAGACACACATTTGAACGGAATCCAAACTCACACCACACCCCTACGCTTAGACTGCCCAAAGGGCTCCCCCCCCCTCTTGGACGCCTTTTAAGGTTTAGGGAACGGGCTCGCAAAATGACGGGCACTCGTTCCACTACACCCTAAACCCTAAACCCTAAACCCTAAACCCTAAGCCCCAAACCCTAATCCCTAAACCCTAAACCCTAAACCCTAAACCCCGACTTGGCCTTCCCATTGGCAGAGGGTGGCGGCTGCGCAGCCTCCCTCTGGGCCGCGAGGACGGCAGCAACCTCGGGGTCCACCTGAGACCACCCCCCCCGGTAGGGTTTAGGGTTTAGGGTTTAGGGTTTAGGGTTTAGGGTTTAGGGTTTAGGGTTTAGGGTTTAGGGTTTAGGGTTTAGGGTTTAGGGTTTAGGGTTTAGGGTTTAGGGTTTAGGGTTTAGGGTTTAGGGGTCAGGTTTAGGGTTTACGGTTTAGGGGTTTAGGGGTTTAGGGTTTAGGGTTCAGGGTTCAGGGTTCAGGGTTAGGGTTTAGGGTTTAAGGTCTAGGGTTTAGGGTTTAGGGTCTAGGGTTTAGGGTATAAATAAGTTTATAAGAGTCAAGGGACTAAAAGACGGACCCTTATAAGGGACCTTAGGGGCTTTTTATGGCTTATCCAGGGGCTACTTCGGTATATAGGGGGACTAAATAAGGTACATAAGATTAAGGGTCCCTTCTAGGCGGCCCTCCTTATATCCCCTAAGAGGTAGGAAGCTTTAAGCTTTGGGGTTCCAAGGTTTAGTTTTCAGGGTCTCGCCGCCGTTTTCCATCAACCCGAAGAAGGGAGATCAAAAACCCAAAGGGCAAGGCATGACCCTCCACTCCCCAAACTGGGGCATCATATAACAACCGGCCCTCTAAACCGGGCAACACCATGAGCCAACCTTCTGGGTTTTTTGGGGTTAGGGTTTAGGGTTTAGGGTTTAGGGTTTAGGGTTTAGGGTTTAGGGTTTAGGGCTTAGGGTTTAGGGTTAGGCGATCCTGATCATGGGGCCCTAAACCCTAAACCCTAAACCCTAAACCCTAAACCGTGGCGTTCGTGCCTCCACCTCGGGTGGCTTCCATCCGACCACGGCCTCGGCGCCCGCCAGGTCTGCCTGCATGGGGGGGGGGGCTTAGGGTTGAGGGTTGTTTCGGTTTTGGAGTTTTAGGGTTTTGGGGTTTTGGGGTTTAGGGTTTTGGGGTTTAGGGTCTAGAGGTTTTAGGGTTTTGGGGTTTTAGGGTTTTGGGGTTTAGGGTTTTGGGGTTTAGGGTTTTGTGGTTTAGGGTTTTAGGGTTTAGGGTTTTAGGGTTTAGGGTTTTGGGGTTTAGGGTTTAGGGTTTTAGGGTTTAGGGTTTTTGGGTTTAGGGTTTATAATCTTAGGGTTTAGGGTTTCGGGTTTGACGGTGCAGGGGTTTATAGCTTAGGGTGTCGGGTTTCGGGGTTTAGGGCTTTACGCTTTATGGTTTTGGGGTTGTAAAGTTTCGGTTTTAGGGTTTTTAGGGGTTTTAGGTTTTTGGGGGTTTGAAGGTTGAGGGTTTCAGGATTCTAGGGTTTAGGGCCTAGGGTTTGGGGTTTAGGGTGCTGGATAGTTACAAGCCGGGTTAGAACCCTGAGTATGGCTGGAACTCACCTCCAAGTAGGGCTTCAAGGGACGAATGCGGTGTAACGGTACTAGTACAGGGCGCCCCACACCCTGGAGTGGTGGCGCCATACGAGCATGAGGTCTTCTGAAGACCCTAAAACCTAAACCCTAAACCCTAAACCCTAAACCCTAAATTCTCAACCCCAAATCCCCGAAGTTCTCAGCTGCCCTCCGGCCCCATTCCTGAAGCCGCGCCCGCCTGCGCGAACTCAAGGTCCCTTTTGGCTTCTGCCACGGCCTGAAAGCTTGCCCTAACTTCGTGCATCTGGGAAACATATTATATGATACGTGCAGGGCCCCAACGTCACCATAGAGGGGGCGGACTTAACAGAACACAAGTATACCCTGTTTGAGGCAGGGTCTGCCCTGTAGTTGGTAAGTGCACAAAAGGGTGCCTTATCCGAGCAAACAAGGATCCTTGGGCCGGATTTTGGGTTTGGAGCACCAAAGCCCTTTGGAGTACCAGAAGCCCTAAGAAAACCCTAAACCATAAACCCTAAACCTAAACCCTAACCCCTATAGCTTCTAGGACTTGGGTCTGGGGTGGTAGGGCTTCAGACCTTGAGGTCAAAAGGGTACAGAGTTGCCTAAGCAGCACAAGCCCGCCGGGGGGGGGGGGGGGGGGGGGGGGGCGTGCTACTAGTACATTACATGACTTCGCGTTCGGGGCCTGGGGCCCCTAAACCCGAAACCCTAAACCCTAAACCCTAAACCCTAAACCCTAAACCCTAAACCCTAAACCCTAAGGGAAGCATGGGAGCGAACAAGCCCAGCAGCTCCTTCTCCTCTGAGTAGCCCGGAAAGATGGCCGGGGCGTGGGCTTTAGGGTTTCTCAGGCGAACCCTGCCGACTAGTAGGGCTGTTAGGGGGTCTAGGGTTGAGCCCTAAACCCTAAACCCTAAACCCTAAACCCTAAACCCTAAACCCTAAACCCTAAACCCTAAACCCTAAACCCTAAACCCGCCTTCTTGGCTTCGAGGATGGCCGCCTGCTTTGCTTCAATCTCCTCCTGACAGGGTGGGTTTCGGAGCATCTAGGGACAGGGGAATATCCCGTACTAGGGTTCCCTCAGAAATATCCCCCTGTTTTTTGGAACTCCCTTCAAAAGGGCACCCTGGTTTGGGAACCCCCCCCCCCCCCCCCCCAATTATTTTAAGGCTAAAGGCTGGTGATATTTCAGTGACCTTGTGCGCCCGAGGGTTTGGGTTTTCGGGCTTTGGGCTTACAATACCACGAAGGGAATCGGGTAACCTTGGAGAAGTCCTAGGGTAAGAGTCCAGGTTGCTACGCAGTCTTCAGGGACAACTTTGCCAACCCGAGCAACCGAACACCCCCAAACCGAATAACAAGCTGTAGGGTTCAGGGCCCCATCAGAGTGTCCATTTGTTGTACTATTATGGAGTTAGGGTTTAGGGCTTAGGAGTTTATGTAGGGTTTAGGGACCCTGAACCCTTCATCCGAAATTCAAGAACCCTTTTGTCGTATGGTTTTTGGGAACCTAAACTTCCATACTGGGACTACAGATGGACCCTCCGCGTTCCTCAACTTTCTACGCCCAAACCTTCCGAAACCCAAAGCCCTAAGTATGCCCCTTGCACTTCCCAATCCCCCGAGCCCTCAGCTCGTTCACAAAGGGGAGGGTGGGGTTGCGCAGGAGTCCTCAAGCCCTAGCCCTGAACCCTAAACCAAAAGCCAGCCTAAACCAGCCGCAACCCTAAAACCCTAAACCCCTAACCCCTAAACCCTACAAGCCCTAAACCCCACAAGCCGTAAACCCTAAACCCCAAACCCTGAACCCCAAAGCCCTAAGCCCTAAGCCCTAAGCCGTAAGCCGTAAGCCGTAAGCCCTAAACCCTAAACCCTAAACCCTAGCCCTAAACCCTAAACCCCATGAGGAGTCCTCAGTCTCCAGGCTCTTAGGGTCCAACGTCGCCCCGGGCTCCGCGGGCTCTTGGTCCTGCTCAAAGGCGTGTCTGAAGGGTTGCGAGGATTTGGGGTTTAGGGTTTAGGGCTAGGGTTTAGGGTTTAGGGCTAGGGTTTAGGGTTTCGGGTTCAGGGCTTGTAGGGTTTCGGGTTCAGGGTTTAGGGAAACTAGGTACATCATCTAAGTCCTCGCACTGACACCATGAAACTTCTAAGTTGTCTAGGGTTTCTGAGGTTGCTAGGCTTCCAGGATTTCCACTGTTTCCAGGCCCAGGGATTCCCAATCTCTAGGCTATCTCGGGCGTCTAGGGTTTCTAGGGCTTCAAGAAATCAGGGCCCACAGGTACCATAAGGCTTCGGAAGGTTTAGGTTTAGGGTTTAGCTGGTGACTCGGCCAGGCCCACCAGTACCCTAGCACTAGCGTGTAGTGGGCTCAAAACAGAAAACCCAACACACCCTGCAACCCTAAACCCCAACCCCCAAACCCTACTCGCTGCCCACCTCTCGCCACAGCCCTGAACCGTAAGGGTTTAGGTTTGGATGCTCCCCCCCGTTTATAGGGATTATAATCGGGGGGGGGGGGGGGGGGGGGGTGTTAGTAGAAGGACGAACATCCCAAGGTCTACTTATTAACCAATTATAACTGTACTTAACCCACCTTATAAGTCCCTTAAGTGCCCGAAAATGGCTATAATTTGGGTCAAGAGTACAGGAATAATTGGTTAATAAGTACCGTGAACCTCCCTAAACCCTAAACCCTAAACCCCAAGCCCTCAACCCTAAACCCTAAACCCAAGTAGGGCTCAAGGCGGAGAGAATTGCCGAGCCTTCTCAGCAGACACCTCCGCCAGAGCATCCTCGGCCGCCTTCTGCGCGGCCTTGTGCTGGAGTCCCGACAATGTCACCCTAAACCCTAAACCCCAAACCCTAAACCCTAAACCCTATAAACACGAGCCCCAAACCGGGCAACCCTGACAACCCCCAAGAAGCCCTCGCAAACCCTGAGCCTAAACCCCAAACCCCGCACCCTTAGCCGGGTTGGTCGTAACCCTCTGAAAAATGTGAGTATACAGTATAAACCCCGAGCAAAGAATATGTTTTGATATCCCTACCCCTAAACCCTACACCCTAAACCCTGAATCCTAAACCCTCCTAAACCCCAAACCATCCGAAGCCCTATTTTGGGGGGCTGACATGGGTTGACAGACAACAGGGGACCCGGAACATGGACCCCAAATAGTAGGATCCCCTATACTAAGGACTCCAATAGGCTGCCCCTCCCCTAAATTAGGAAACCCTAAACCCTAAACCCTAAACCCTAAACCCTAAACCCTAAACCCTAAACCCTAAGTTGCCTCCCTAAATTCGGAAAGCCCCCATATAAAGGATGCCGAAACCCGCCGGCTCTAGAAGCGCACCTCCAGAGCGGGAAGTGCGGCTTTCAGCTCCTCGACGTTCGAACGAATTTAGGGTTTCGGGTTTGGCGTTTAGGGTGAATCTCAAGGGTTTAGGGTTTAGGGTTTGGGGTTTAGGGTTTAGGGTTTAGGGTTTGGGGTTTGGGGTTTGGGGTTTGGGGCTTAGGGTGAATCGCAAGGGTTTAGGGTTTAGAGTTTGGGGTCGTGGGCTGAACCCAGCGTGCGGATTCTGGAGCCCTACTTGGAAGGTCATGGGTAGCTGCAGGGTAGTGGTTTGAGGGTGACGGGTAGGTTCAATCGACAGGGTATCACCAGATGCGGAACGGTATCCCTAAACCCTAAACCCTAAACCCTAAACCCTAAACCCTAAACCCTAAACCCTAAACCCTAAACCCTAAACCCTAAACCCTAAACCCTAAACCCTAAACCCTAAACCCTAAACCCCAAACAAACCCTAAGCCCTATGGGAAGCCGAGCTCTGACCGTCGCGACGGATGGGCTAGGAAGTAGCTTCCATAAGGAGGAGGCAGTACCAAGAGCTGCGGTTTAGGGTTTAGGGTTTAGGGTTTAGGGTTTAGGGTTTAGGGTTTAGGGTTTAGGGTTTAGGGTTTAGGGTTTAGGATCAGAAAGTCGGGAGTACTTACCCTCTTGATTCCAAACCCTGTGACAGAAAATAAGGATACTGGGCTGCCCACACCCTAAACCCTAACTCCTAGCCCTAAACCCTAAACCCTAAACCCTAAACCCTAAACCCTAAACCTTCAACCCCTAAACGCCAGTTTCAGATAAGGGCCCTCTCACCTCAGCGCTCGAAGCATGGGCTTCAAACCCTACAGCCGGTTTGGGGTTTAGGGATCCTAAACCCTCAGCCCTAAACCCTAAACCCTAAACCCCAAATCCTAAACCCGGGAAACAGTGCAGTCTAAACCCTTTCTTCAGCCCGTCCTGTATGTAGTTCTTCACTTCGCCCTGGAGGGCGGCAAAGATGCGCGACAGGGCCTGGCCCATGAGGGTTTAGGGTTTAGGGTTTAGGGTTTGTTTAGGGTTTATTTAGGGTTTAGGGTTTAGGGTTTATTGTTTAGGGTGTTTTGGGGTTTGGGGGGCTTAAGTGTTTAGGTGTTGATAGGGTTTTGAGCCCCAGCAAACCCAAGTAAAGCCCTACAAAGCCCCAAAAGGCTCAGACACTCCACGCCTGCGCCTGCACTGTCGGCCGCAGCACCGGCGGCTCTGGCACGGCGCCCTCCGCAGCCTCGGGTGCTGGCGCCTCGAGGAGTCTGCTGGGAGCCCGAAAGGGCGGGACGCTGAGGGGGGTTTAGGGTTTAGGGTTATTTAGGGTTTAGGGTTTAGAGTTTAGGGTTTAGGTTTAGGGACTAGGCGTAGGGTTTAAAGTTTAGGGTTTATAAAGTTTGGGGTTTAGGGTTTAGGGTATTTGGGGAGGGTGCAGGCTTTGCTAAAGTTAGGGATTTAGGGTCTGGGGGCTTGAAGGGGGGGGGGGGGGGCTTGAAGATTGAGGGGCTTCAGGGTTAGGGGGTTCAGGTCGCTAGTTCGGCCCTAGGGTCCCTTATTGTGGTTTAGGGTTTAGGGTTGAGGGTTTAGGGTTTAGGGCTTAGGGTTTAGGGCTTAGGGCTTAGGGCTTAGGGTTTAGGGTTTAGGGTTTAGGGTTTAGGGTTTAGGGTTTAGGGTTTAGGGTTTAGGGTTTAGGGTTTAGGGTTTAGGGTTTAGGGTTTAGGGTTTAGGGTTTAGGGTTTAGGGTTTAGGGAGTGCTTCAGCAGATGTCGGAAAGGGTGTATGGGGGCAGCGCCTTGACCGCCGGACAGGTGGGCTAAGTTGTCATGTAGTTGATGCCGGTCCCCCACATGTCCGAGCAGCAAAGCGACAAAACCCAGAGCCCTTAAAGCCCTCAAAGCCCTTCAAGCCCTTCAAGCCCTTAAAGGCCCCAAAAAACCTCAAACTTGAAGCCCTTAAAAGGCCGTGAAGGCTAAAAAGGCCTTCCCGTCCCCTAAACCAAACCCTAAACCCTAAACCCTAAACCCTAAACCCTCAACCCTACACCCTAAACCCCTGGAAGCGCTTCAACCCCCGGCACGCTCCACAGGCTCCTTGTCCTCTGCATCGGCGTCCTCGGCCGGCTCGCCCGCCTCGGGCCTCAGATCGACAGATCCCGCCTTCAAGGGGCAAAGGGGTTTAGGGTTTAGGGTTTGGGGTTTGGGGTTTGGGGTTTGGGGTTTGGGGTTTGGGGTTTGGGGTTTAGGGTTTGGGGTTTAGGGATTCAGGCTCGGGGCATCGGATTCAGTAGGGTTGAAAGGGTATAGGCACCTGTAAGCACCATAAGCCCTAAGCCCCAAGCCCCAAGCCCTAAGCCCTAACCCCAAACCCTGAACCTGAGCCCTGAATCCCACGGCCGTGAAAGCTTTGGGCAGGAACATACGGGGGACAACTCTGGGCCTAGTGCTCTGAGGTAGGGGTTCAGGGGTTGATGGGGTTCGGGTTTAGGGGGCCTGCGGGGTTTCGGGGCTAAGGCATGCTGTATGTTGGGCTTCAAGACTGAATGCAGGAGAGGGATCCGAAGATCATGTTCGGAGTACTCCATATGCTTAGGAGCGCCTCCTGGGGCCTAGGGTTAAGGAGGCTTCAGCTTTTCAAGGCTGCCAGGCGCCTGAACTCCGAGAAGAATGAAACGACACCCCGAAGCCCCTAAACCCTTAACTAAACCCTAAACCCTAAACCCTAAACCCTAAACCCTAAACCCTAAACCCTAAACCCTAAACCCTAAACCCTAAACCCTAAACCCTAAACCCTAAACCCTAAACCCTAAACCCTGCGTGCTGGCTGAGGCCATGGCTCTTGCGTGGGTATGTCAACCTTGGTGGTGCAAAGCCAGGCAATGAGGGTTCAGGGTGCTTTCTTGGTTGAGGGCTTGGGGCGCCCCAAGTTGCTAAACCAAAGAAAGGAGAGTTTAGGGCAAGGGGCGGCGGAGGGCCTCAGCTCAGCTTTGCCATCGACACCAAACACGAAATCTTGAACCCTACTGTGAAACTAATCGAGTGGAATCCAGCAACCTCCGCTCTGCAGGGTTTAGGGTGTTGGGTTCGGGGTTTATGGTTTTGGGCAGCTTAGGGGTTTGTCGGGACTAGCTTCTAAAACTTTCTCTTGGGGCACTAGCAGGCTAAATAGGTCAACTTTAATACTGTACCTGATGCCCTTCTAAGCCCCAAACTCAACCCCAATTGAGGGTGCGTACCTGCAGGACCCTGAGTTGGGTCCTCAGTGTTCTTTGTTTTTTGGGGGAGCCTTCCCTAGGGTCTCCAAGCCGAGTTTGGGGTTTAGGGTTTACGGCTGTTGCTAAAACCACCCAAACCCTAAACCCTAAACCTTAAACCCCAAGCCCTAAGCCCTAATCCCTAAACCCTAGACACTAAACCCTAAACCCTCAACTCCTCCTTCTAGGGCACTGGCTGTCATCAAGACCACCTTCTCAACTTTGAAGGCTTCGAGCATGGCCTCCAGGACCTCGCCACAAGGCCAGAAGGGTTTTAGAGGGGTTTAGGGTTTAGGGTTTAGGGTTTAGGGTTTAGGGTTTAGGGTTTAGGGTTTAGGGTTTAGGGTTTAGGGTTTAGGGTTTAGGAACCCTGAAAACCCTAAAAACCTTAAACCCTAAACGTTAAAAACCCTAGGCCCTGCACCCCAAACCCTAAGCCCGACACCCTACAGGAAAAGTACCATGTTTTTGTTTGGTTGGGCGTCTCAGGATCCTTCCCCGAAACGGGGGGCATACTCATGGTAGCGTTGGGCATCCCAGTTGCTCAGAGTATTTCAAGCTCAGGGCATTTCGGGCTTGGGGTTCCGGCAAGCTTGGGTTTTGCATTGTACCTTGTTAACCGCAAACCCTAAACCTTGTTCTTGGTTCAGAAGCTCTCGGGCTTAGAGCAATTTAGGGGCAACATCTGTGCGATTGACCCGGGCACCCTCCGGCCCCTATCCGGCCTCGCATGCAACCGCCACGGCATGGCCGGAGCCACATGAAAACGACTTATGAGACTTAGGGTTTAGGGTTTAGGGTTTAGGGTTTAGGGTTTAGGGTTTAGGAAGCCCATCTTTAGGTCTGCACGGAGGTGTTGACCGGCCTGATTGGGCTGCAGGTGCTGGCTCTCCAAGCCGTCCAAGATGACCCTGGGACACGGGCTCGCTTGGGGAGGTTAGGAGTAGGGTTTAGGGTTTAGGGTTTAGGGTTTAGGGTTTGGGGCTCACGGCTTAGGGTTTAGTCTTTAGGCTTACCCTCAACCCTCCCCCTGAATATTGAGTGGGTTTAGGGTTTAGGGTTTAGGGCTTAGCAACCCTTACAAGGTTTCCGACCATCAGAACTCGACAAGCCCTAAACCCTAAACCCTAAACCCTAAAAACCCTAAACCCATCCCCTAAACCCTAAACAACGTCAGGGCCCCCGCCCGGTGTTGCAGTCGGCCAGCTCCGAGCGCCGCTTGAGGAGGTGGGCGACCTGGACATGAGCACCCCGACATGGGGGGTTTAGGGTTTAGGGTTTAGGGTTTAGGGTTGTAGGGTTTTAGGGTTTTAGGGTTTAGGGTTTAGGGTTTAGGGTTTAGGGTTTCGGGTTTAGAGTAGCTACGTGGTCCCTCAGTATGGGCCCTTGAAAGGGAACCACTTAATTCTATACCCCTGATATACCCCATACCCATACAAATTGAGGGCTCAGTCATCAGAACCCTTTAAAGGACATGTTAAGGGTCCATGAAACTACCCTTAGAGACATGGGGGTTTCCAAAGGGGGGGGGGGGGGGGGGCGTACCTTTTTGGCGGGTCCCTTTAAGGGGATTCTATTCTATTTGGGGTATAAAAGCGGTACCCCCAGTTTGGGAAATACCCACATGGCACAGGGGTCGGAATAAGTACTAATGGTATTTCCCATCCTTTTGGTATAAAAAAGCAAGAATTGTTAAGGCCCCTGCATAAGTTGAGTTTGGAGGTCGTGGGCTTGGTCTAAGCCCGGCCTGTGACCCCCCAACCCTACAAAATAGCAGGTCATAACTTGGGAGATGTTCCCCCTTCTACTGACAGTCCTTAATCGGGATTCTAGTACCCCCTATTATGTTCCCTGTTAAGGCCTGTTCGTACAAGGGGGGGATATCCCAAGTCACAACCCCCTAAATATAGGGCATGCACCCCCGGAGCAGTAGGTAAATATCGAGGGTAACCCGGGTAACCCTAAACCCTAAACCCTAAACCCTAAACCCTGAACCCTGAACCCTAACATGGCCCCTGTGTTGGGGTTTTTGGGGGGCGGTTTTTTTGGGCCTCCAGGGGTGTAGGATTTCGGGTGCTAAGAGGGGAAAGATACGTTGGGTTTTAAGGCGAACCTTAGGGTTTAGGGTTTAGGGTTTAGGGTTTAGGGTTTAGGGTTTAGGGTTTAGGGTTTAGGGTTTAGGGTTTAGGGTTTAGGGTTTAGGGTTTAGGGTTTAGGGTTTAGGGTTTAGGGATATTCAGTACCTTCCCTACATTCCCCCAAAAGCAAATACAAACCAGTACGCAAAGCCTTACACACGCCCCTCCGCCCTAAACCAGAAATCCTAAACCCTAAACCAAAAACCCTAAGCGCTGTTGCTTCTGTTGGGCACCGGCCTCAGACGTCGTTATGGCCTGGCCACCTGCACGCTCAATTGAGGCTTTAAGGGTTTCGGGTTCGGGGTTGAGAGCTCAGGATGTCATTAAGGGCTGAGAGCTTTGGGCCTGGGCATTGTGGTTGTTTAGGGTTTAGGGTTTAGGGTTTAGGGTTTAGGGTTTAGGGTTTAGGGTTTAGGGTTTAGGAGTTTGGGATTGAGAAGCTCGGCATGATTCAGCGGCACGCAGTTCGAAGGGTACGCTTTGCCGATGGACCCATTGGGATGTGAGCTCTGCCCGTCCACTCCCCCCCCCCCCTCTCTTTTGCTCTTGCTTCTTCGCCTTTCCTTCAGACAGGCGAAGGGTGTGTTATGGGAAGGGCTGAACATCTCATGCAAGCCCATATGGGTGGCTGTCAAAATCATGATCCCTTTTAGGATCCCTAACCCCCAAAAATCCCGTAAGCTGGCTTCACGCCCTTGCAGAAGGGTGCTTCTGCCCCGAACCTTACACTTGCATTGATGTATCGATGCCACCTAAACCCTAAACCCTAAACCCTGAACCCTGAACCCTGAACCCTGAACCCTGAACCCTAAACCCTAAACCCTAAGCCTTACACCCTACACCCTACACCTGAAGCCTTACACCCTACACCCTACACCCTACACCCTACACCCTACCCGGCCCCCTAAACCCTAAAACCCTAAAACCCTTAAACCCTAAACCCAGCAGCCTGCCAGCTTCTTGCCAGTGGTCCGGGCATTCCAGTCGTTGTGCAAGGACGGAGGTGCCTGACAGAGAAGGGCTAAGGTTTTTCAGGTTTAGGGTTGTAGGGTGTTAGGGTGTTAGGTTGTTAGGGTTTTAGGGTTTTAGGGTTTTAGGGTTTTAGGGTTTTAGGGTTTAGGGTTTAGGGTTTAGGGTTTAAGGGTTAAGGGTTAAGGGTTAAGGGTTAAGGGTTTAGGGTTTGGTGTTCGGGGTTTAGGGTTTTAGGGTTTAGGGCTTTAGGGTTTTTGGGTTTAGGTTTAAGGTTTAGTGATTTTAGGTATAGGCCCAGGGATTAGGGATGGGATGTTCCTCTAGGCATTATATTACCCTATTCGAATCCCTAGTAAGGACTGTTAGAAAAAGGGGGTCCCAAGATGAGAATTTAGTGCGTCGGGTCTAGGGTTTAGGATTTAGGGTGTAGCAACATGACATATTTTGCCATCGGACGTTCCACCGCGGCTTTCTTTGAGGGCAGCTGCGCGGAGACAACCCGAAACCCTACTAAACACGTGAGGCGACTGCTGCCGATGAACCATTGGGTGGTTTCCCTAAATGAGGGGTGCCTTATTGGGGTCGCTATGATAAGGAAAACCTACTATTTGGGGGTCTATACCCTAAACTCTAAACCTTAAACCCTAAACCCTATTAGGGGCCCCGTATTTTCGGACCACCCCGCCCCCCCATCAAAGAAAACGTACAGTTCGGCGCCTTGCTCACCCAGTCCAGCACATCATCGATCTTCAGCACACGGCGGCTGTCCTCTAAGGTTGGCCAAACCCAAAACTACTGTTTGCTTAAGAACCCCAAAAGAATGAAAAACAATAATCCCTATATTAACCCTAATAAGGAAGAACATATTTATTTTTTCTGGGTTCTTAAGCAATCAGTAGAAAACCCTTGAGCGCCACCTCTAAGCCCTGATGACAGCCCCGTAAGGCTCACAAAGGAGAGGGGTTCAGGGTTCGGGGACTGGGGCCTTTTGGGCTTGAGGGTGTAGCGGCTGTTTGCTAGCAGGTCCTTGAGGCTCGTTTGCAGATTATGGAACCGCAGCTAGTAGCCAGCCGCACGTTAGCTAAAGTACGTGGATTCATCGTCAATCGACTTCTTTCTCGAACTTACAGCTTCCTCCCCTCCCCCCCCCCGGTGCAAATAGTAGATCCGAACCCTAAACCCTAAACCCTAAACCCTAAACCCTGAACCCTGAACCACTCCAACAATCCCACCAACACCCTGGGTGCCAGGTAGCTCCTCCTTGGACAAGGACCGGGCCAGGGTCGACATGCCAGACCTCGCAAGGCCAAGCTCAGGCCAGTCTCCCAAAGCCCCTTGTAGGTTTAGGGGTTTTGAGGGGGTGTTGAGGAGCTTTGGGTGTTTTGGGGGTTTAGGGTTTAGGGTTTATTTAGGGTTTAGGGGTTAGGGTTTAAGGTTTCGGGTAACGTCTCCTGAGGCCCCTCTAAAATATAATCTTCGGATGTTCCCCCCTTGTGCTAGCAGTCCGATTTCGATTTAGAGATTATGGTACCCCCTGTTTAATAATCCCTATTAAGGACTGCTAGTATCAGGGGGTACATCCCAAATTTAGCCCTAAACCCCTAAGCCTAAACGTATCCTAGTAGTCCAGGGACCCTCACTGGGCTTCTGCTACTGCTGCCGAATGATCCTACGTAATAATGACTACGCACTAGCTGCTAGATCTGGCTCTCCAAGCAAGCCCAAAGCTAAACCCCAGGCAAACAATTTTCGAGGATTGAAAGGTGTATCTCCGACGCCAGTAGGGTCAGGGCGTCTAGACTCACCCGAACTGGCTTCAGCCAATTCTACAGGCAGCTCTCAAAATCATGGTTCCTGTCGCTGTGCTTCCATCTACGGATTTCCCAAACATGATCAACACTTCGAAACTGACCACGTAATCACTCTGCATGCAACACCTGGACCAAGGTGCCTCAATAACATGGAGCCTAGACCCTAAACCCTAAAGAGAGAAGCCACAAGGGGATTAGAACCGCCGAGGTTCTAGCCTACACAAAAAAGGCCCAAAGTTTAGGTTTAGGGTTTAGGGTTTAGGGTTTAGGGTTTAGGGTTTTGGGTTTAGGGTTTAGGCAGGGAGAAGTCAGTGAGCTCAGGCTTCCTGGGGCTGGCGACTTCGGAGGTCCCACCAGAACAGCGTTGACCTTGTCCAGAGATTGCGAGGGTTTAGGGTTTTGGGTTTAGGGTTTAGGGTCTAGGGTCTAGGGTTTAGGGTTTAGGGTCTAGGGTTAGGGTGCAAACTGCGAGACTCGCGGTGAAAAGCGAGTTGCAAACGGATCCTGCGACTGCAAACTAAGCCTGGCCTCATCACGCCGAGCTGCACTTCTTTATGGGCAGGAAGATCTAAGATACGGATACCCTAGCCTTAAACCCTCAAACCCTCTCGGCCTAGATGGCAGGCCAAACCCTAAACCCTATGCGGAGCTGCAGTTGGTATTGTAGGAAGGAGTTGGTATTGGAAGTTGAAGGGTCAATGAACCCGGTAATCTTATGGCTCAAGCCATGACCAAAGCGGTCGAAGGTTTCGTAAAAAGTGTGCCCTTGGTTTGGGGTCTTGTTGTTTGGTTGTTGGTTGTTCCAGGGGAATCAAGGGTTTCTGTTGGGGTTGACTGTTTTGTTCCCTGTCCTCCTTCGGTTGCCCCCCGTAGGTTATGAGCCCAAATTAGGCTTCCTGCGGAATAGGTAAAGATTTTTCGTTTGTTTAACGCCATGGACATGATGCGGCGTCGCTCTGAGCCTGGACTGTCGCCAACGGCCAATGAAGCCGAAGGAAATCGTGGTGATGGGGGTGAAGATCGACAACAAATGGTACAAGCGCTGACAGATGGTAGGGAGGTTGCAATGATACAACCAACGCCTCAGGTGGAAAACGAAGTGGTTCCGGTTCAAGCAGCAAATCCTTTCTGGAGCGAGCGGGCTCAAGAAGAAATGAGACTTAGGCAATCAAGGCCGGCAAGTCTTCCCGCGAGCGGAGGGGATAGAAGTGGTGAAGGTACGAGGAGGCCGCCTTCGCTGCAAGATCTTTTGGGTCAGGAACCTGCACCTGTTGAGAGACCATCGTCAGGCTTAATGGGCCAAATGGAACGAGGTACTATTGGTGGAGTGCAAGCCGACGAAGAACTCATTCCTGATGTTAGTGGTGAAGAGCAAACTGAAGATATGGCGGTGGTGAAGCGTGCGCTGAAAGAGTTGCTTGTGCAGACAAAGGAGCTGGGGAACAGGTTGCATCGGGTGGAGGAGAAAAGCTATACCTCTGCTGCATCTGGGTCAGCTTCAAGGGCACGGAGCTCTGGAGTGGTGGACGCAAACACGGCATATCCTCTAGGAATGACTCCAGAGAAGCAGTACCTGCCAGGACAAGTTTTCTACACGGATGGTATGGGTGGTTTTTGGACTGTGTTGCCGGATGGGTCATGGCTGCCTATTGAGGGTTACGACCTGCCAAAGGGTTGTGATCTTCAATCCTTGCCTGGGTCCAGGAAGGGGGATGTTCAAGTGGAGGATGAAAAAGAAGTGCCAATGATGCATGTAGCTGAAGGGAAGAAACCCTCCAGATTGCCTCCATTGAATTACCCCACGGGAGGTCCTGCAAGTGGTGGATATGCAAGTGGACCACCTGGTTTAACACATGTTCCGATTACTTCCGTGCCGTCAGGTGTTGATGGTTCTGCCGCACCTGTGGGGAACCAGCCCGGTTTTGTTTCAGCTCGGGAAACTGCAACGCAAGAGAACTCAGCAGGATCGGGCGGATATACAATGGTGGATGATGTTCCGTATCGGTGGAAAATGGTCGCTGGGAAGTTGGAATTAGAAAAGGTTCCGCTCACAGCTGTTACGCCTGGTATAGGACATGGACTACCTCAAGGGCCTGGTGGTAGGGTCAGTTTACCTCCTGGAGCAGTGGTGCCTCGTGGTATGCCAATCACTGGTGATAGTTCTGGAACCGAACGTCCGGAGGCTCTCGGGAAGCATGTGATGAGCCTTCCAACTTTGGCAGACTACACACCAAGCAATCCGACGGCACTGGGTGATTGGATCGCAATGATCGAACCAATGTTGTCTTCGCTGACAGATACAGGAAGAGTGTGGTGGCAATGCGTCTACTCAAAGGCATATCAAGCGTATGCCAAATGGTTGAGTGTTTCTCCGCTGGAAAGGTTGGGCATCAAGGCTGAGCTGGAAGGGCTCAAAGTGGTTCAAACTGTGCATGTTTTGTTGGAGCAGAGAGCGGTGTCTTTGCTGTACAGGCGACCCCGGAGAGATTGAAGACCGAGATCGTTTCCACTCGAATGTTGGGGTCAGTGATGATATTCTACAAATTGCTGACGGTCTACCAACCAGGTGGAGCAAATGAGCGCAGCACAATGTTGAACTTCTTGGTGCAACCATCTCCAGCAACCTCGATCTCAGAGGCCATTAAGGGAGTGCGTCAATGGGCGCAATGGCGTTCCCGATTAAGGGAGTTGAGAGCGGCCGAGCCGGACGCTACCTTGCTTATCAAGGGATTGGATGGTTTGTCATCCGCGTTGCTGGCGAAACACCCTACGGTTCATTTCAGAGTGGCATCCTTTCGGGAGAAATTGGGGGTGGACTACTCGCCGACCTCTGAAACTGCGACAAAACTAGCTGAAATGTTACAGGCAGAGTTTGAACTGCTATTGCATAGTGCTGGTGAACAAGAGGTGAAGCAGGACTCGGACGCCAAGAAAAGGGCCAGGTTAAACAAGGCCCAAAAGGGAACTGGTGACGAGACAGAGGAGGGTGACAAAGGCAAAGGGAAAGGAAAAAGGTACAGCGGAGATGGTGAACGTCCTTTCTGTTGGATATATGGGAAGACCGATGCAGGTTGCAAGTTCGGATCCCGCTGCAAATTTCGCCATGACAAAGACTCCCTTGAGCGAGGAAGATGTTTTGAGTGTGGGGCCGTTGGCCATCTGCAGCCGCAATGTCCATATAAGGATGGTGCAAGTTCCAATGTGGACTCAAATCCTGAGAGGAGTAGATCTAAAGGGAATTCTCCCAAAGGGGGAAAGGGCGGCAAAGGTGCGAAATGGGGAAATGCCAAAAAGGCAGAGGTAGCTGAAGGGGGAGATGAGACGGCTAATGCGGGATTGGATAAAGGTTCTGCAAGTCCCTCATCACCATCAACACCCAATCAGGTCCTTGCTGAAGCGTTGGAAGTGCTGAAATCCATGAAGCTGTCATCAGCACAGTCAGCATCAAGCGGGGATCCCAGTGTTCGAATGTTATGTGGCTCTGGGTTGTTTCAGCAGGAAGGGAGAGTGGCGTTGGTGGATACAGCTGCTACGCATCTTGCGCGGACGCTTTTTCCATGGGAATGTTTACCCGACACTACTGTTATGGTGCAAAGCGCGCTTGGTGGTGTGACAATGAGGATTACAGAGAAAGGGACGTTGATTAGGGAAGACAATGGGCCCCTGATTATCCCTCTCTGGTTGATTTTGGAGTTTGGGGCGAACCTCACCGTGATCAATGGGATGTGTCACGTGAGTGCAAAATCTTCGCTGGACCAGCTCTTGTGGTTTGAACATGGCTGTTTGGTTATGGATTACAAAACAGCTGAAAAATGGTTTTGCATGCTGAAAGGCAGCGTGCGTCTTGGTCCCATTCTCAATGGAGGAATGGAAGGGCGGACTGTGGAGTCGGTTCGTCGGATGCCACGTTGTTGCCGAAGCAGGGAGAAGGCCGAGGAGTATGCGTTCTACATGTGGCCAGGGTTTCTGACACCAATGAGTGTTCGGGAATGGGCATGTTGGACTCGGGAGCATCACATCCTCTCAGATCACTTCGTCCTGGTGAACAGCTTCCGCAGCAAAAGGTGTTGGTGTCTTTAGCTGTTGGATCTCGGGAGATGTGTATTACCCCAGGTGGGACCCTGGTAACTCCTGAAATGGTAGATCCACTAGTGCCAATTGGCAAAGCGAGCGCCTTGGTTGGTCTCAGAGTTCAGTGGCGTGGTGGCAAGTGCACAGCCTCACATCCTGTTCTGGGGGAACTTCGCGTTCGTGATCTGAATGGGTGCCCTTGTTTGGAAAAGGAGGTGGCGCTTCAGATCATTGATGAAATGGATTGGTGCTCACCAAAGCAAGCTTTGAAGGTGGCACGTATGGTTCAAGGGTGTCCGAATACGGACAACGAGGTGGCTGTAAAAACGTCGTTGCAAAGCGCAGCGCGGACAGCGTCAGCGAATGAGGAGGAGTTCGTCCAGGCATGCTGGAGATTTCTTCGGTGGTATTATGGGGATATACCAGAAAATATGCTGATGGAGCTGTTGCCACGTGGAGATATTGCGGCGTTGCCTTTCAACCGTCATAAAAGGAGACGGCTGGCACGAGCAAAAAGGGTGGTGGTACACCTATTTTCAGGAAAACAAAAATGGCATTTTCCCAGTCGGGATGTGGAGGTACTGGAGCTGGATTTGACAAAAGGCGGTGACCTACATAATTCGAGCGTCTGGAAGTATCTTCTGCATCTGGCGGCTGAAGGAAAGGTGGTTGCTGCGGTTGGAGGACCTCCATGCAGGACAGTGTCAAGGTTGAGAGGTGAAGACGGTGGTCCACCTGTATTACGCCGACGCTGTGGGCCTGAACGGTTGGGAGTTGGGAGTAAAAAGTCTTCCTTGGCCACATCAAGAATTAGCTCAAAAGGATGGTGTTTTACTTCTGAAGATGCTTTTCCTATATGACGTGGCGGTGCATTCAAGGTGTGGAACTGCTGAAGTCATCAATGGAAGTTCTGTCTTCTTTGGCATGGAAAGCCCTGGGGACCCTGAACTCATAGGGAAAGATTTCTCTCAGAATGGCAAAACGGTCTTGAGTGCTGAGGATCTGGTGGATGGTTCTCAGGAAGGGCTCTCAAGTCCTACCTTCTGGAGTTGGCCAGAGGTGAAAAGTTTTTGTGAGCGTTATGGAATGTACGCTGCACATTTTGATCAAGGAGCATTGGGACATGCTCTGGTGAAACCTACGACTTTCCTGGTGTCTGATATGGAACTATGGGAATCGTTGGAACAAGTTCGCGTGGTTGTTCCGTGGTCAGCAACATTCGCTTCTACCCTGGAAGAGCGTATTGGACAATCCTCCATATGGGCGCGATGGGCGTTTGGATTGGTTAAAAGAATACG